TGCGACGTGTGCGATTAGCAGCGTTGTCATGGCGTGGGCTCAACAACTCTGGGCAATCCCCCCCCCCCAAAAAACCAACCTCAACAACTCTGGGCAATCTCCCCCCATTTTCTTAATTTTGAGTCCCCAAAAATAGGGGCATCTTATACACGGGGGCGTGTTACACAAGGAAAAACATGGTACATTTATTTGTAAAATATGCCACTTAATATAATTAAAATTTCTAAGTGGTTAACATAAAACCAATAAAAATACAACAATAACGTACCCTCCAACATTCCTCAGATGAAAATAGGGACATTTTTCACTCCCCCAACTGACCCTCCTCTCACACACACATCCAATTTTTGTCCTCCCCACACAGAGCATTTCCTATCAGAAGAAGGGCAGGTGCCTCCCACTGAAAGAACAGTCGCAAGAAAAATTGATGAGCTACGCAGAACTGGCTAAATTGACATACAAATTGCGGGACAAGGACAACTGTGACTTAAAGAAGAATGGGGGCTTTTTACAACTTATCTAAAAAGACAACTAAATGAATTGGACTCCTCGGCAGGTTTTGAATAAGCATGCACAAATTTATTGCTTGATAACATGGTAGATAGATAATGTAAGGATATGTATAATCTCATAACATGCAGAGAATAATATCTGCTGAGAAATCAGAGAGAGGAGCTGATGGAAGTCTCAGGGGGGGGGTCTGAAGGGGGGAGGGGAAAAATAATGAATATGATATGTTTTGATAATTTGCTATGTGGAATTTGTTAAGAAAAATATTTTAAAAAGAGGAAGGGCAAGTGCCACCACTGCTAGACCAATGGGACACAGCACACACACCCTCCACTGTCCTGAGAAACCTCTTGATCCTGGATTTATTTTATTCTTTCCTAGATTTACAGAAAGATTAACACACACCAATTTAGGCAGGGGCAAGATTAGACGCAAGACTCCTTGCACTCCGCTCTGCTTCCCCTTTCTTCCTGCTCAGGGCGGCCATGCCCTCTGCCTGCCCCTCAGAGTCAGCATTTCACACGGGGCTGGACCTTGGTGGTAGCAGAATCTTCTCCTCTTCGCTGGGATGCCTTTCATAATCCCAGGACCGTCCCTGGAAAATCGGAGCACTTGAAGGGCATGCAATAGCAGTCAGTAAAATTTCCTAAAAGCTAGTTTAAAAACAGGATAAGACAAAGCAAAACTTTATACATATACTGTAGCTAGGAAAACTGAGCGGGCATGCAAAAGATAGAAAAATATATACGAGAAAAGCATATTACTACTATAAATAATCAGTCCCCAAATTGGCTGGGATCTAGTCTGTTCTCATACACTTTTTTTTCTTTTCATTTTCATAAAGGGATCTCTAAAATCCTGGGAACTTTGAAACCTCCGTTTAAATACTTTCCTTGCACTGAAACATTAACTGTCAAACTCGCCGAAAACCTTGTAAAGCACTCCTCTGCTGTAGGCCACAGAGCACAGTTGCAGTAAACTCTGACCCATAAAAAGTAATGTAAACATTATAAACCTGTTTTTACTAGCCTTTTAAACTGCCGGGAGCAATAGCTCTTACTCTGACTGGCTCTCGCGGCTTCCAAGTCTCCTGAAAAACCCAGACTCCTACTAAGATGGGTGTCAGCGATCTTCTGGCATCCGAGGCTGAAAATAGGAACAGGATAGAAAGGTATCTCACTAGTTAGCTATTCACCTCGGGCAGATGTTTGATATTTCCAGCAGCAAACAGCTCAGCAGAGCTCCTAAAGAGGTCAGCTTAATGATTCTGCATTATTAAATGAAACAAGTGCCTAGTCTTTCTTCAATGGCTCCCCTAAATTGCTACATCTGCTGCTATTGGAATGGATATAAAAGCATTGTAAACTTGGTCAGAACAACTGTTCTGCTGCCTCAAGGCACTACAGTTCCCTTAAGGTTCAATTCCTTTATTTGCTATGAACCAAGCAATGCACTCTGGATCTCAGACAAAACTCCATTGACTTGAGTGGGAATTGTGACTGAATTGGGAGGATCCAACTCCAGAGTGAATATTCACCCCACCTCCATACTTTCAACAAGAACAACATCTACAGTAGTTGATTGCTGCCAAAGCCCGTTTTCCATTAAATTGTGGCAAATCAGCCCTATAATTAAGTTTTGCTTTATGCCGGGGGGACGAAAACACTGAAGAAGCAAATTTATCCGCATTATTATATTTTTAAAAAACCTACAATGTGGCAGCTGCTGCCAGTCCAGAATAACATCTGCTAAATATACTGATTTGATTACATTAATGTGCAGCTATAAAATTTATGTGGCAATTATTACTGATTTTATTTTTGTTGTTGTTCTTGAGATTCCTGCATTGCAGGGACTTGGGTGGGATAACCCTCAGAGTCGCTTCCAACTCTACCGTTCTATGATTGAGTCCCTCCCCCTGTGCAATGTGCTTTGCCTTTATCTTCCCAACAACCTGTGAGGCAAGTAAGCCAACATTACTCACTATGGCACCTTTGGACCCAGAAACTGACTCAGGGTTCATCCTTGCTTTAGCTGTACAAGCCAGGTGGATGCAGTAGTTGCCAGTGCCGGCCCTGCTGTTGGACAGAATGAGCCAGCCACCTCAGGCAGGACATGCTGTAGTGACAGCAAGGTGTTGGAGGTCAGTGCTGTGTGTGCCTTGTAGCCAGCTGCCCTCAGGTGAGGTAGAGGGTGCTGTCCCATCACCAGTGCTGAAGTAAGATTCAAATGCCACCCCACTAGACTTTTGTATGTGGAATGGAGAGTGTGCGCTTTTTTGTATTTCAGCCTCTGGCAGCAAACTGTGGCTGCCCCTCGTTACTTGCCCACAACTCAAAAAAAATGGGCTGCCCAAGTTATGCTTATGACTGTGCATGTAAGCAAAAAGTACGCACCATAGTTTTGCAGAACACATACAACATTCAGGATATTTATGTTTTTTATCTTCTGTTTGCCAAGTTTCTTAAGTTCTTTTAAGATTAGTTTGGGATCAAAGCAGGGTAGGATTCCCCCTCCCTTTCTTACACGAATAAAAGTAAAATGCAAATTGCCACATTTTCACCACTTTTGCGCACTACATAACTGTAGCAAACCTAGATGTGTTAATTAAGGTCTGAACTGTATGATGACATCTTAGGCTGCCTGGTATGAAATTTAATTTGCATCATTAAGCTTACAGGGGCTGGAGATAAACAGCAGGCATTAAATTTTTTAGTTTGCTATAAATTTTCAAAATGAAAGAAAAGCTACAGTTTAAATATGGATAAATCTAATATGTTTTTGGTCTTATGGATCTAATATTTCCCACAGTGCGTGATAAATCCATACGTTGTCCCTGAGAATTAGGTTTAACCTTTAGATTTTCCCCTCCCCCACCCAGTTCTATGAAATATGAGTTAGCTCTTCTAAGTAGGAAGCTGGCAGATGCCTGACTGTACATAAAGGGTGATGGTAGACACTGACCCAGAACAGTCACACTGGGTTCTTCTCCACAGTGTGTTCCTAGCTTCACAATTAGTCTTACAGATGTACATAAATGCCAGGAAGTAGTATACTGGTTCAGTCACCAAATCTTTGTTCATTCCCTTGTACATCCGGAAGACTGCTTGTATACCTTTTAACATCCCAGCCCCTCATCAAAAGGCATATATGAATTTAAACAGATGTGTGTGCACATTGGTCCTTAAAACCCCATAAATATACAGTGGACGCTCGGGTTGTGAACGTGATCCATGCGGGAGGCATGTTCACAACCTGCAGCGTTCGTAACCCGCATCGCCGTGTCTTCACACGCGCAGCTCGCAATTCGATGCTTCTGTTTAGTGCTTCAAAGAAGCTAACATTCTCCTTTCCCTTCCTCCCCCACAACAAACACTCTGTGAGGTGTGTGGGGCTGAGAGACTCAGAGAAGTGTGACTAGCCCAAGGTCACCCAGCAGCTGCATGTGGAGGAGCGGAGATGTGAACCCGGTTCACCAGATTACGAGTCTACCGCTCTTAACCACTACACCACACTGGCTCTCAATAAGCAGGGGGTCAGCACAGACAGGCAGTGGGGCTGTGTTGCTGATCTACGTCCTGGCATTGCTGCTGCTTCCTGAGCGGGCAAAAGGGAGGGGCAATAAAGCAGGAGTGCAGCATGGGCAGCAACGTCCAACACTGAGAAGGCAGGCCAGCAACCCAGCCCCACTCACAATGATATTGATGTCTAATAATGGCACCTATTTTGTGCAACATTGGGGGTGGGCTGCTTTGTGCACAACAACTCCAATCACTCTAAGGGATACTTTTATACTTTTATTAACTCAAGAGGGTTACATGAGTACATGAAGAAAAGCATTTTTCCTATCAGTGTTTATGGGGTGTTGTCATTTTAAATCGTAGGCTGCCACCCTCCAGTAAGCAGTGAAGACGTTCCTATTTCGCCAGACGCTTGGCTCGTTTTAATTATTCTCCTGGCAGTCTGGCTCACATTGTTTCTGCTCCTTTCTTTTAGGTCTCCGTTACTAGCTGTATTTTATTAATGTGCTTTTATTGCATATTGTCTTTTTTTAATTGCTGCAAGCTGCCTTGGGGGTCTAGTTGTGGAGGGGGGGGGAGAAAGTTCTAAATAAGGGAAAACCCTCTCTCTCTCCTCTTTACCATCAGAGATGTACACACACACACACACACACACACACACACACACACACACCTCTCAGTTAATTTGCATTCTTTTTCCTGCCCTCAAGTCTCTTTGCAGCCCCATTTATCCAGCCTAACCGGACATGATGGTTGTTCTCAAAATAGAAACATGCAAGAGGGAAGAGGCGTAAGCTTTCTTGCCAGCTACAATCCCAATTAACACCACATGTGACATTCAGCTTTAGGGGTGGGGTGGGGGAGGCTCCCATTTGGGTTTCCCCTCTAATGCTAATTGCCACATTGGGGGGGGGGGGAGCTGGATGCAGTTCTCTAGGGTTTCAGACAAAAGTATTTCCCAGCCCTGCTTAGAGACACCAGGGATTGAACCTGGCACCTTTTGCCCGCAAGACTGCAAGACAGATGCTCTGCCAACTGAGCTACAGTCCTCCTCCATCTCCCTCTCTCTCTCTGTATAACACACACACACACACACTCTTTTCAGTATCAGCACAATACAGTATCTCTCTGCATCCCTAACTCAGCTCTTCCTTTCCCTTTCCCACCACCCATTGCACATGTTCTTTGTCTCATCTCTGTGTCGCCCTGTCTCTCACCCCCTTCAAATATTTTATGTTGCTTCTGTTCACCCCACTTTGGCTGGTTCTCTACTCCTTCTCCCAGTGCTTTTTTTCTTAAAAAAATGTTGAGGGTTACTCTCGTTTTGACTCAAGAAAACCACCATTTGATAGTTCAAACCGGGAAGAATAAATACAGCAAATGGACAAAAGTACAAAGAACATGCATTACTCATACTGAAATATTGCCCCTCAATGAGGCCAAACTTTCATCAGTAAAACACCACACTGCTTCACACATTAAACGCTCACCTCTGTCTGAGACTCAGGAAACACCATGACAGGAAATGAGGCCGCCATCGGGGGTAGCAACAGAACTGAAGATTCACTGTGCTAGAGAAGAAACTAAAAAAGATTAAAATTTAAAATTTTTAGTTTCATCTCCCATTAGATTCACAAAATGTTTAGGATTATGTGTACCCCTGCATACCCCCAGAAAAAAGGACTGCCTTCTCTACTCCTTCTCTACTCCTCCTTGACCTGCTCCATACAAATCAGAAATGTCTCTCCCTCCTACAAGTAATGCATCATGGGACAAACATGCAATGCTTCAGTTTGTGCCATTTCCCTTCCCATCCTTTGTACATCACACTATGTTTTATTTTTATTTTTTAAAAAGATCATCATGAAAATGCACCAGCATTCTTGTATGCAGTTTTGTCTAATATGATGCATTTGTGTATGTTATTTCCACTAATGTATGCATTTTATGCATATGTTGCCCTAGAGCAGTGGTAGCCAAACTTGGCCCTCCAGCTGTTTTTGGACTACAACTCCCATCATCCCTAGCTAACAGGACCAGTGGCCAGTGATTGTGGGAATTGTAGTCCCAAAACAGCTGGAGGGCCAAGTTTGGCCACCACTCCCCTAAGGGATGCACTTCTGCAAACATTACTTGGCTTATTTTGTTGGATAACTGCATTGCAAAATGCATAGAAGTGCAAATTTTGAAGAATGGCTGGGCTTTTGTTCATGTAATGTTTTAGAAGGTGTGAATTGAGTTGAATTTCTCCCCTATTGGTAAGTGAAAGGGACTCAGTCGCCCAGGGATGTATGAACCAGGCCTTTACCTACAGGAATAATGTTTTCATGCCTTCCTCTTTAAGGAGAATCATAAGCTTGATTTATTCGTTTTTTTAAAAAAATCTTCATCTGACTTTGGTATTTGACTTCAGTATCAAAGTGCATTGAAACTAGGCTAGATTGTCCAATCTATTTATGGTCATCTGCATTAATTTTGCATGTGTTCATTTGTAAGTCCTTTCTGCTGTATGCTCATATTAATCTCTGGGATTTATTTCTTGTGTGAATGAATATTTGTATTCATATACTCATTTTTTCTCAATGAGTGCATATCTAAACACTATTTTATGCTAAGACAGATATATTAATGGAATTTTGTATACTTTTCCAGCCAAGAATGGAACCACAGCATTAATGGAAATGTGTGGCTATTCCTTGCTTTAGGGATATGTTTGGGAGGGCTCAACTTCACATCTTTCTGCCCTTGTCTTCTCCTTATAGGATTTGTGACAATCCATGCAAACCCTAAACTCTAAATCACATCCTAAAGTTCATTGTGGCTGTTTGACTAGGCCAAGTTGTCGTTCTGGAAAACAAAACCCTCTTTGTTATTCCAATGGATTATTGCAGCCTAAAGTGATGCACTACTTTGCTCATGGAAGTGATTCCCATGATGAAAATCTTAATGTCAGAAAGACTTTTCGAGGCGGATTTGAGTTGCCAAATTGCAACCCAGAGATTTGCTTTTTTTCATCAGGCAGTGAAATGGGGAGGAAATCCTCTAATCCATTTTCCACCAGACCCATTTGCTTTGTCATTCTTGCTCACCTACAGAAGGAACTGGAGGATCTCTGAGTGTATTTCACACCAGGCAGGAGAAGTGACCAGTCTACAAGACTACGAGAAATGGGGCAGAGAAGCCACAGCGACTTTGTCAGCTTTTAAAAAGAAACCAGCAAACAGTAAAGAATCCTAGCTTTAACCTGGCAACCCTTCATATATTCCATTTCCCACCCAGTAGCAGCCAAATATTTCCTAGTCCAGAAACACCTGTGTGGGTGAGCTGAAAGATGAGCTCATTACAAGAAGAAAAAATATACAGTATAAGCTGTATTCGTTGCCCCCCTCCCTTTTGGCCTACCTGCAGATTTAGGCTAGCTAACTAGATCCAGCTGTTTGATTTGACTCTGTACCATGGTGGTTTCCAATATCCCTTCTGAATATAGCTGCCCTGGCTAGAATACAAAACTAGGAGTTGCCTGAATAATCAGAGAATTTGTAACAAAGCCGACAGAATTACTGAACATAGGCTCCTCTGTTAAAGCCACAGCTCCTGGCAGCCTAACTAGGTGGCCGTGCCAATAGGTCAAACAGCACAATTGTCTTCTACTTAAAAGAAATCCTGGAACTGTTATGTGGGAATATTATTACAATCTCTCTTTTTTCCCCTCTTTCTTTTTGCCCGGCCAACTAGAAACAAAACATCCTTCATTATTTACACTCTGCCATGTCCTCAGCCATCTTGCTATCATCATTACATCCATTCTTTTCAAGAAACTTGAATCTTACCAGTACACCAATGTTTGTGTCAAGGGATATTAAACGCGGGGATTTCTGTTTCGTTGCATAGGTCTTCTTTAGTCGTCCCCCAACCCCACCCCACCCACACACTTCTGTAAACTCAGGTCTGTACAGCTAGAGGGGGAGAAATTTATATTTTCAGTCAGCACTCCCTGACAGGTATTTTCTTTCGGGCTGCATGACTTCTGCTCAACTTCTGAGAATGTGGGTAACTTTCCCAAGGGTGTGCTCTAAGCAAACTCAAGCAGAACCCACACACCAAGAAATAAGGACTTGGGGGGGGGGCAACAATTAATTTCACTGTTTGCATTTGCTGAGCATCAGGGAAGGGCCACAGCTCAGAGGTAGAGCATGTGCTTTGCATGCAGGAGGTTGCAAATCTGCAGCATCCCCAGATAGGGCATAAAACCATGGAGAGATACTATTAGTCAGTGTAGACAATGCTGAGTTCGATGGAGCAATGGTCTAACTCAGTAATAATAATAATAATAATAATAATAATAATAATAATAATATTTATACCCCACCCTCCCTGGCCAGAGCCAGGCTCAGGGCAGCTAACACCAGTAAGATTACAGTAAAAACATAATGGGGGGGGGGACTAATTTATTAAAATATGGGTTAAAATACAATTTAAAATGCAGCCTCATTTTAAAAGTAGCCCATAAATCAAAACCATAAGGGGAGGGAAATATAAGGGTCAGACTGAGTCCAAACCAAAGACCAGGCAGAACAGCTCTGTCTTGCAGGCCCTGTGGAAAGATGTCAAGTCCCGCAGGGCCCTAGTCTCTTGTGACAGAGCGTTCCACCAAGTCAGGGCCAGTACTGAAAAGGCCCTGGCCCTAGTTGAGACCAATCTAACCACCTTGTGACTTGGGACCTCCAAAGTGTTGTCATTTGTGGACCTTAAGGTCCTCCGCGGGGCATACCAGGAGAGGCGGTCCCATAGGTACGTGGGTCCTAGTCCTAGTAGAGGGCAGTTTCCTATGGTTGTTGTTTCTTCTTCTTCTTCTTCCTCCTCCTCCTCCTCTTCTTCTTCTTTTTCTTCACTATATTTCTCAGTTTCTAACAATAAACACAAGATACAATCCTGCATATCCTCCCCAAGAAACATTCCAGTCAAACATTAAGTTAGTGCATAAATAGTTTAGAATTGATTATGTCAGTTAGGTGTCTGCTACTCCCTGCCTTAACAGATAGTTTCCTATGTTCTTATCCTCAGTAATTAAATGTCTGTTTGGTCTTCCTCCTGCGCAATCAATTCCCCAGGCTAGATGTGGCTTTCATGTCTGCTGTTCACACAGAGCTCTGATGCTGCTCATGCTACTCTCCCTCCCATCTGCACTGCACATAGAAAACAGTACATGAGGTGCAGCCAGAATTGAAGCACTAGACTTGCCCAGCCACAATCAAGGCATTACACACAAAATCAAATGATGTTATGTTAAAGTTGGACTGATTTCTCCCAACTTAGTTTGCGTAGGGGGGATCTCATGAGTAAAACTGCAGGCATGTATTCTAACCATACTTTACCTGACAGGGCCTGATAAATTTGCATCAAGGGTGGACTAGGCCTGAGGAATCAAGTTGGCCACCATTGATGTTCCCCAAAGGCAATGTTCCCCAAACTTAGGTCTCCAGTTGTTTTCGGAGAACAAATCCTGTCATCTCTGACCACAGGTCTTGCTAGCTAGTGATGATGAGATTTGTAGTCCAAAAACAGCTGGAGACCCAAGTATGGGAAACACTGATCTAAGGTGAATTCGCCTTCTGGTGAATTGCAACCTACAGCTGGGTTGTCATGGCTCAGCCCAAACAAGGATACAAACCCAAGGGTGCAACAAGAGTGAACATTTCTTGTACAAAATGACTACATGTTACAAACTGGAGTGTTCTTTTTGAAGTGAAACAACATATTCCTTCAAAGAGCTGAGATGGATAGTTTTCTTAAAGGAGTGTGTGAACCATGTTGAAGTTTGCATACATTAGATGCTTTGCAATATATATTCATATATATTGCAACTGAGAAATGTTCTTATCAGACTTTCTGCACATTGCTGTTGGATGCCATCCCCATTTTTGTTTTTGCAAACCTAAGGAGGGCTCCATGATGGGAGCAAATGATCGTGGTGGGGGGAGGAGACATGAGCAGAGATCTAGATAGATATAGACAATGGGTTGCATCCAACTAAGTCATACTCAGAGTGGAC